CCGCTGCCGGGCTTGTGGTCTGGTGGGGGGCGCTGGTGGAGCCTGTGCTGCCGCATGTCTTGGGGCGACGTGGCAGGGAAGCAGGATCCCAGCATGCAGTGTTCCCTTACACCTTGAGAGCCTGAGGGGGCAAAGGCAGCCCCAGCAGCAGCAAGATAGCCCCAAGACTGGTATGCATGGGGATGAGTTTGCCAGCTCCTAAGCCTGGCCTCCTGTATGAGTTGCGCAGCCACCCCACAGCAGTGTGCTGCCGCATGTCTTGGGGCGACGTGGCAGGGAAGCAGGATCCCAGCATGCAGTGTTCCCTTACACCTTGAGAGCCTGAGGGGGCAAAGGCAGCCCCAGCAGCAGCAAGATAGCCCCAAGACTGGTATGCATGGGGATGAGTTTGCCAGCTCCTAAGCCTGGCCTCCTGTATGAGTTGCGCAGCCACCCCACAGCAGCACCAGCAGGAACCAGAGAAGTGGCGATGGGGAGCCCAGTAGCAGCAGCTGGTGTCTGAGCAGCTGCAGCTCCTGCACTCAGGTCGCTACACTGGACAGCAGCAGCAGCAGCTGGGGCTCTCTGGTGAAGCCAGCCCACCCTCCCCTGCAGCAACAGCACCCCGGGTAAGGTGCAGCCCAGTTACCACATAGGGGCTGGAGGGGGGAAGGAAGGCTTAGCCAGTGGGCCTGGGGACCTGGCGTGCTTGTCAATGCAACACAGCAACAGGGTAAGAACAGTGGGGTAACTCAGTGAGTCTGGGATTCAGTGTCTTCTGGGAGTGCCCAGTATGCTTTTTTATATTATATTCTCACATTGTATACTCACTGTTACTTGTATACAGTATAGATTATATATATATATATATAAACCCACATTAATACAATGTGAGTTAGTAGCTACTGATACAGATACACTCCCACTCAGGAGTATCCTCTTTTTTGAAAGTTCAGATATGGTAACTGTGATGGGACGCCCAAGCCCTGCACTCAGAATGGATTGCGATACAAGCTGGACACCACCCCCACCCCGGGATCATGGGGGAAAGGCCAGGCCGGACGCGGTGGGACGCAACCCTCCCGCAGGCAAAAAGCGGCCTGGACACTGCCTGGCGGGGAGGGAGAAAGGGGGCGGAGTCTGGACGGGGAGTAAGACATTGGGCTGCACCCAACTTCTAGCGTACGGGTGATGTCAGTGCTGGCGGGGCCTTTGAAAGGTGGCCCTGACCCTGGAGAAGGGGGAGACAGCAGGAGAGTGTCAGGAGCTGTGGGGAAGCAGCCGGGAGCCGATTGGCAGGAGCTTCAGAGGAAGCGGCCACCAGGAAGGGGAGCACCTCCAGACAGGGGAGCAGAGTGTCTGGATCCCGGGAATGGCCTCGATGCAGAGCGGACACGGACACAAGGACAGCAAGGGTAGGAAGCAGCCCAGTGCAGGGTGTAATTGGAACGCCCTTGGGTTAGCGGGTGCTATTCCCCCACTAACCTGTGCAGGGGGCCGTTCCTGTGCTTTAGGGCCCTGGGCAGGCCTGGGTCCCCCTACCCCACCATTTCACTTGGGATCATAGCCAAGGAAACTCTGGGGAAGGAAGAGGCTTGCCTGAAGACCCATGGGGGGTCTAAGCAGTTATGGACTCAGAGAAAGACTTAGGATGTGATGAACGTTTGTCTATCTAACGGGTATGAGTACTGTTTAGAGAGGGGGGGGCACTAAAGAGGAACACAGGTACCTCCAAAGGACCTCTACATGGAGCGTACCCCATTACAGTAACCCTAGTTTCCCCGACTCCCCACCTGTGCAGATGCCTCTCAGGATCACCATTTCTTTGGAAGGCTGGAGATCTGGGACCCATGGCTCTTCCCCTTGTTCCAGCTGGGCAATCAGGTCAGGTTTGGGAATGGAGAATCCTGCATGGGGTGAAATCAGGAAAGTTGAAGGCACATGGAATCTGGGCAGATAATGTATCAGAAGAAAACTCACTGAGCACAATCTGATCCTACATGGGACTGGGGTAATTCAGACATCTTAAGAGCAGTAGACTTTTGGGGAAAAATGAGGGTGGGAGATGTGGCGAAGTCAGGATTGTGTTCTCTCTGTTCACTTTTTTATGGTGTATCTGATTTCTACTGCCCTGTAGCAACCCCATGCATGTGCCTCAGTTTACCTGAACACTGTACTACTATCTAGATAGGGATAGTAGTTTGGCTGTGACTCACTGGGGGAGGATGCCCAGGCCAGCATGTTCAGAAGGACGCATGCTCATAATAATCTGAGTCTGGGAGGGGTATGTGATCAGGTGACACCCTTTGCTCAGGAAGCTGGACAAAGATTTGAGATGGAGCTGGCTGAAGCCAGGGATGAGCTGTGGAAAGTGGAAATGTGTCTTGCTGGCAGAGATGGGGGCAGGGCCCTTGGCTCTGGGACCTTCTCCCAAGATGGACTGTACTGATTGCTCCTGGTCCCTGTGCTAACAAGTCTGTTCTACGCTGTAACCCTGTGAACTAATAAAACTTCTGTTCTACCTGCCAGCTGAGAGACACGTCTGGCTGTGGATAGGAGTGCAGGCCCAGTGACTCCCCACTCCTCGATGACAGAGGGTGTTGTCATGCCCTCACTAGAAATTTTAATGATCTGTGGGTTCTGAGGGACTTGCTGACACACACACACATCTCTGGGGTTGAAGTCTAGGCTATTTCCCAGCCTGTGGAACCTAGAGCCCGCCCCACAGGTGGAGCCAGTCCCAAGAAGACAGGTGAATGGTGTATGTAGGAGAAATAATTTTGGTAGGACAGTACCGCAGGTCTGGCCCTTGAAAGCTAGGTAGATGGGGATGAACTAGCCTGTCCCTTATGTGTCTGACTTCCCTGTTCCAGAAGGGGGCATGATGATGAAAATGTCTCTCACATAGGGGCTGTGGGCCCCACTTCCCTCTAAGCAAACTGACCAGGAAAGAACCTGACCTGATGCTGAAATGCTGGCCCCAGGGCTTTGCTAGCTGAGGGCACAGGAATTCTTACCCAGTGAGGCCACAGTCTCATAGTTCTCCTGCATGACGTCCCTGTAGAGGGCTCTCTGAGCGGGATCCAGAAGAGCCCCCTGCCCTGGAGTGAAATACACAGCCACCTCCTCGAAGGTCACCGGCATCTGAAACAACAGGAGCCCCCCACTTAGCTCCTGCCACCCCAGCTACAGCCCCACTAGTCACAATGAAAGAGGCCCGAGGAGCAGAATCCCACCCCACCCTGGCCAGAGATGCCAGGAGGGCCCAGGGAAGAGAGACGGGTGAGCTCCTTGTGCCTCCCAGCAGATGCAGCAGGGCAGGGTCTTCTCAGTCACCCACTTACCAGCCACAGGCTGAGGTGGGAGCAGAGCTCTGCACAGGTGATAGGGACAGGAATCCCAGCAGCTTCCTAATTCATGGCAGCCTCTGGCTAGTGAGCTCTGTCTCCAGCAGGAGAAAACAACAACAGGGAC